ACGCGAGATCGATGAGAGGTGAGGATCTATCCTGATTGGTAAATCTTTAACATCCTCGCGTCTCTTTCTTCCCTTGGAATTCATACCATTTCTGGAAACATAGGGACGTGCTTTTCAACTCTTTCCTTTCGTATATTCCAACGAGCATCTTCCACCGACCCTTTTCTAACGATTTTCCCTTTATGCCCCTTATTTCCTCACATTTTCCCGGTCCAACTCTCGCAAGACCTCCGCCCCTTCGCGAGACCCTTGCCTCCGTTTCCTCTGTATAAATCCCTCATCCTTTTCCCTCTCTTCCTCCCCCTTGAGCGATAATTATATTTCCTCTAATGACAACGCCAAGTTTCAAGCCAGATACCCGGAGGGCAACCTCCTCGAGGCGCCGAGGTACTCTTCAAGGGCCTGGAAACGAGAATAGCGGCCAAGACTTCGGTCATACAATTACAAACGCGACATATATATTTAGGGGTTGGAAGGGAAAGAAACAACATTCACCCTTAAATGATTTATCCTCGGGATACATATGATCCACCCGCACTCACTGATAAAGACTATTCCCCAAAGTGTAAACCAATCTCCCTAAAGAAATAAATCCAACTACTAACGACCTTACCCTGCTCTTCTGCATCCCTTGCCGACTTCTTAGAGAAATTGAAAACTGAAACCAGATACATAAAGATGAAAGTAAAAAGTAGTTGAAAGGAGACCCTTCCGGAGCCGCTTCTGCCGTGGCAAGAACCTCTCGAGGGAAACCTATACCGAGCAAAATGTCTGGTCTAGCGGCACAAGACGGCCGTTTTGTCGGGATCGGGCCAATAAAAGAACTCGCTATACTCGCCCTGGTAGTCCTCGAGGTACAGCTGGCGCTGAATCATCAGGGTCTCCGTCAGATAGGGCTGCGTTGGGAACGCTTCGTGTAAGGAAGTCAAATGAAAAATGAAAAAGAAATTACCGTCCCCAATTTGCGTAAACCTTATCGACTTACAACTCGTGACGAGGGAGGTGAGACCCGGTCTGCTCCGATTAAACATACGGATTAAAAAACGGTCTTCGGTCGCGACCGAATTAAAAGAAATTCGTAAATATGAGATAAATAAGGAAAAAAAGGGGGGCTTCGTTGAGTCAGGGTATAAGAATGTCAAGGGGTGGGTCGCCTGTAATCCGAGGTAATTCCCAGACCCGATGTTATACCCGACCGAGAGATTTTCCCCCTCGAGTTGCAACTATGCAAAGCGATCGTATTCCCGCGTGGGCCGATCTTGAATTTGCGTGTTCAATTTGCCTATGTACGTGAAAACGTGAATTAAGGAGGTTCCGAGGGTAGTGGTAAGTCATGAGGTCTCAATCGATCGAAATGTCGACAGCGGCAATCATCCCTCGCCGCTAAGTGCGGGAATTACGCGGCCTGTAATTTCGGGTGGCTCTCAGTGGCCGTTTCCGCGCATACGTGCAATTCGTCGCGTATTTACGTATGTGGGCGGTACAGGCGAGGCGCGCTTTCCTTCGACATACGATACTTAGGTACCATATGTGCGGCTATCCGACCATTCGGAAGGAAATTGCCAAGGAGTCTTGGCGAAACCCGACCTTCGGCGAATCAGTCGATTTACGTGCGTAAATCGTGCCCGCTACCGACATGTACGCGAAAAACTACATATTACGAATTTTTACAATTCCCGCAGTCTCCCAATCACTCCAAACAGTACCGATACTAATATTAAAAATCATCCCATTTATATAATTTTGCTAATAAATCTCTACCTTCGCAGTCATGACTCCAACAATGTTCCCCTTTCTTCTCATTCACCTTCACTAAATGTTCCTACTCGTCGCGGAAAAATTCACGCAATTTTTATGAATAATTCCAAGGCACCTTGAGGATTTTTATAGTTATCGGCAAATGCTAATCAAGATTATCCTACAGTCGCAGAGAGCTGTGCACATAATTACTTATTCATATTTATATATATACACACACATATATTTATATTTCCAGTAGTTCCTAGTTGACCCGGATAAACGGGTGATTTCTGTGAACTGTTACGGACAGAACACCGCATTTCAATGGCATTATCATAAATTTGTCAATTCAGGGACCGGAAACGCTCGACGATAAATCTTTCTCGAGTCCCGCCCACTTCCGGATTTTCTTCGGACCGCAGGGGGCGAATCGAATCGTCGATAGGAGTTTCCTTCCCTCGGGGAGTTGATCTTCCGCGAGTCGAGCGAAACGTCGATGGGGTGGTCGGGGCCGTAGAATCGTCCCCGCTTTTATTTCTTTTTTTTCTTTCCCTCCTTTTGTCTGAACGAGCCCGCACCGCGAGTAACTCAAGGAGCACCTCCAGAAGTAACCCGGCACAACGGGCGTAATGGTAGATCGTCGTAACTTTACACTCGAGCGTGCAACTCCTGCATGCGGTCTGAATGCAGCCTCGAAAAAGTGCGGCGCGACAACGGGGCCACCCGTCGGTGCAACGTCAGGGGGGTGAAACGCCCCAGAGGGGCAGAAATCAGACACGTGTTCGAGCCTCCCCTAAAGATGCTAGCTGACGAGTTCGAAAATCGCTCGACCCTGAATTCGTTCGCCCTTTGTGACATTCGGATCGATCGTCGAAGCTGTACCGCTCGATCAACCTCCACGCCCTACCAAAAATTCTTGTACTGTATCCATTAAGTATACAAAGTTTTGTTTCAAAACTATTAATTTTACACGTTGAATTAAGGTGATGTGAAAGTAACAAGAAGAGGTCTCGTCAATAAAACATATTTCTCCGAACTAAGTGTACCGAATCGTTTCAAACTTGACTATGTGAACATGGAAGCTAACATGCGAACATGAAAGTCTAAAGAAGGTCCTGACTCCAATAAAATTTTTATTCTTAAAAAATTTCTTCGTAAATGTTTTCAACATTTTTTTTTTTTGTCAAATAATGAAATTTCGCGAGTTTCAGAACCTACCTTAGGCTGTCTAAATTCACGTTGTAATGTTCGAAACTATTCAATACATCCAGTTCGGAGTAAATGGATATTCTATTTTAATATTTATATGTATTTTTCTTTTAATTCCCTGACAACCGGATCGAGATATTCGTTTCGCACTCACCGTAAAACTTCTGACGAGGCTCTTTTTTATTATCTATTTATTACTTTCTCATTTTGCTTTTCCCTAGTCGACACGGATGAACAGGTCATTTTCGTGAATGCTCGTGTATATGAAGGCTGCGTAACCGCATTTCAATGTCCCCTCTTTAGCGATAATTACCAGCTTTCAGCTCAAGGTCGGGTGCTTCAACTTCGAGTTAAAGTCTACCTTGCGGACGAGTCTACCGGTCAATCAGGACGTGAGATGGCAAGATTACCTAATGGACGAGATTTACCAGGGGAAGAAATTCAACCCTGGGATCGACGTTTCCATTCCGAAAGGATTAGTCTCAGCCAACTAACGAGCAGGCGTGCTAAGAAGAATCGACCGATAAGAGCGTACCTCTAATTGCTAGTTAAACATGTCTAGAGGCAGATATACCACTACTACGATCGATCGATCCCGCCCTAACCCCGAATTTTGACAAAACTCGTAAGGCCCACCTAATCCAATCACAGCTCGAACAGGACGGCGCTAATTACTCAACGCTAATCAAGATATCCTAATTGCATTCCCCGACAATCCCACGAATGACGTGGGACGAACCAATTGCTCACGGAAATGATACAGTAATTAGGCAGAAATTCCGAATAATTCCGAAATGAATCTTTTTCAGGCCCCAGAATCCTTATCATGAGATTTCAAGTCCAAATCTACCTTTTCGAAATTTAAAAGGCAGACGCCCCGACAATGAAATATTAATAGGAAATAATTGCTTAGATAGAATTTCTTGAGGGAAGGTCTCGACGTTGAAAAAATCCCTCGCGGTTTAATGGTTTTTCCAAAAATGTTCAAGTCTTTGAAGCCCAGCGACGTTTTTAAGCTGTCCCCACTGCGTGTATAAACGCACAAGGGGGTCTGAAAACCGCGACTTTCTCATTTCTTGATCCCTTCCCCTAATTTATTGCGTTATTAATCGCTCGAGTCGAGTAGTCAGGTCGCTGCCCTTGGAGTACTCGACTGCGCACCGAGAATTATCGGTGCGCAATGCTAGGCTCAAAGGGCACCCGTGCCGGGAAATTCGAGCTCGTCTGTTAATGGGATCGAGGGTACCTCGAGCTCTTTGAAGTCGTCCTCGGCATCCTCGGGTTGGACCAGATTAGCGGACGTTAGCGGAACACATGGCTCGGCCGATAAGGGAGGAAACTCCAAGGGACCGGAGAAACAAGATAAAGGCCCGTTCTCCGTTTTTTTTGTTTGTTTTTTTTTTCAGCGACAGAAAAACGGTAAAACGCATGTCAACGTAGATTACTCGCGGTGCGGTCGGATAACGTTCAAAGCATCATCAGCATCCGTTTCTAATAACCGTTTCCAAGATTACAAAAAAATCTAAAAGAGTACCATTTCTCCCAGTCGTTGTGCGTTTAGAAAAGCGCTTTTTAGATATCAAGAATTTGTCTTTATCGAAAATACCCTGAGAAAAAAGATTAGTTAATTGAAACAAATATATATATTGCTGCCTAAATCATGTATAATTGTAAGAGACAATTATTTCGTTGAGAAAATAAAATCATGTCGTTATTTTAAACAAATTCTCTTTACTCTTTACTACATTTCTTTAGACGAATTTGTTGCAGCAATGCATATTTCTTTGAATCACAACCAACTTTTTTTTCCTCAAAAGAATATAAAAATGTAGAAGATTTGTAGGTTAGGTCACGGTTGGGACGGTCGAACCCAGTATAGGGAACGTGTCCAGTTGGTTTTATTTTCTAATTCCTGCTCCCCAGCAGAGAGATTAAAGGTGAAGTCAACGCGACGTTCGTCCGGAAGTAATCGATTTGAAAACCAATCGACCCTCTCCCCGTACCGGTAGGCACCCCAAGACCCAACATGGCTTCGCACGTGTCATACGTACCATTCCCTCGTCCATAGAGGCGTCCTCCTCGAAGTAGCACTCTTCTCCTTCATCCGGCGTGAGCGCAGCTGTCTTCGCTTCCGGGCTGTCCCTGGCCGGCTCCAGTTCCTCCCTCGCGTCCTGTCTCCTGAGCCAATCCATTCTTCTCCTTTCTACGGCACCACCTTTCCCCGACCGCTTCTCGACCAGCTCTCGAATTCGCTCAGGATATTATCACTTTATCGTACATAACCATGTCTCTTTCACCGGGGCAACCATTCGAGTAACTCGCAACCCCGTTAAATTATTCCTTTCGACGACCAGTCGAGAATAGGAATTTATTCCCCCTAATATCACGTCTCCGTTTTAATATTCGACTTAATATTCGAGTCTCACTCGGTTAACGGGAACTCTCGGTTACCGGCGGAGCTTCGATCCCGACCGCCCATGATGACGGCGCCGACACTAATGTCACCTCTGCCGCGGTGCGCGACATTTGCCAAATGTCGAGCGCGCTGTGCGAGCATCCGGCGCGCCCGATTGGTCGGCGCCCGGCGAGGGGTCCGCGGTAATCCGCCTCGCGAGTGGTCCACGTGTTTCCGGCGCCGCAGCTGCCGGCGCGCGGTGATTGGTCAGCGGCGGAGCGGTGACCCGGTGCGCGGCATCGACGCGTGCAGCGGTGCAGCGGTGCAGCTGCAGCGGAGCGCGAAGCGTTGCCGAGCTCGCGACCGCGCTCGACACCCGGGCCGGAAGTTCACCTCGCGCAGCTGCAGCTGTCGTTCTTCCGGATACCCCCAACCTCGCGTCCTTGGACCCAGGACCCTCGATAACGACCTATATCGAGCTACGATTTATAAATCACCGTCCCTCGTCCACCTGCAGCTGCAACTGCATCGTCGGAACTACCGATCTGACGAAATTCCTCGGCTCGATAGCTCGACGACCAAGATCGAAAAGTCCCCGCGAAGGTCGAGATCTTCGGAGCAGCTGCGCTCCTGGGCGCTGCAACTGCGAGCGGCGACTCGGTGGTTCGGTTGCGCGCGGAGCCGAAGGAGCCGAAAGAGCGCGACTGCGGCTGCTGTTCGGCTCGGCGGAACGGAACGGAACTGAACGACGAGAGGACTAGGAGGCGAGATCGGCTCGGTTCGGCGCGGCGCGGCGGGGGCGTACCCACGACGCGTCCCGGCGAGGGTGGCCACGAGGGGTTATTCTCTTTCTCCCCCTCCCCTCCGGGACCGAGAGACCTCTAGGCTCTAGCCCCCTACCACCGCTCGCGGCGAGCCCCCTCTACCGGCGCCCCCCTCCACCGCGCCCGCCGGGTTCAGGGACGATCCCAGGCGATCCCGGGTCCTAGGAGGTCCCGAGGGTCCTCGGTTCCGGGCCGATCCGCAATTCGTTTTTCATATCAAGAAACTCGGTAGAGTTTCGAGCCAAATACATTTGAGCGAGAATTACTCAGAGGTACACCCGGTCCAGTGTTGCCAGCAATACTATTTTTATAGCAATCGTACTATTATTCCAGCCCGTTCTCTTACGCATTTTTAGAACAATAATAGTACATGAATTGTCCCATCCTTTTGGTAGAAAATGAAACTGTGGTTATGAACGACGTTATTATTATTTATGGATACATGTTTTTCGTTAACATTCCTTGTTTCGCTCATAAAGATATTTATGCTTTGTTGAAACAGGGAATGAAATTGAACCGTTCAATTTTTATTTTAGATTCTTCTTCGGTGCTAGAGTTTATTACGTGGGTTTACCTTGGTTTCTAGTTGACGGGTGAAATATACATGAACGGCATAAATATATTTAATACTATTAATTGTTTAATGCCTTGAATTGCATTCCCTTTCCTTTTTAAATACAGGCGAAATCTTGATTTAAATATTTAAATATTTGGATTTCTTAATTTATAATAGTATATATTATCTTCTTGTTCGTATCGGATTGTACTATTATTATAATCCGAGTGTACTGGAGTAAACAGTACTCAAGTTGATAACAAGGACACGGTCGGACAGATAATCTCGAGCGATCCGAGATGTGGTTAGGACCATTGAACAGCGCAAAATGTCCTAGCAAGGACTGGTCTCGATAATCGTCGCAAACAGACCGATTCCTCCTCGGGAAAAGTACCGAGGCTAATGAAATAGTTGGACAAACGATTTATTTCCCCCTCGATATCTACCACTAATAGCGGGAAGCATATCGCCAGGCTTCGGAGCGACCCTCACGCGCGACGATACGGAATTTACGAGGGAAGATAGTGGCAATGAACCTCGACGCGTGCACGATACCACCATGGGGACAATGTAACGAGACATAAACGTTAGAGGCTAATGAAAAAGTAGATTAAATAACGATCGCAAAGACAGTTCGTTGCTCCCCTACTATCCAACTTAGCTCGAAATAAATCATCGAGCTGAAAGGAACGAAACTCCTTATAATTATTATTCATTAGGTTCAGTTCGGTGCCGTAACCTGAACTGGTAACTTCGACGCGATAAGTGCAAAACTGTATATGCCGAGCGAGCGAAACGTTACGACGAGCTAAAAGAGTCGTAAAATAAGGTGGAAAGAGGAGAGGAAGAGAGGGAGAGAGGGAGGCAGATCGAGCGAGGGGGGCGAAATTAGGGCACGTCAGTAGTCGCGAGGTGGATCCCGGGGGATTCGAGGCGCGGAATTTTACGCCGGCTCGACGTCCTCGTAAGTAGAAACCTTGGAGGGAAAACGCGACAGCGCCCGGCGCGGATTAATGCCGGGAAGTATGGTGCCGGTACTTTGTCGCTCGCGCGTCGCTACCTCTAATGAAATACGCTGCTACATCCCTGGGTTTTCAGTGGCGTCGGGCGCGGGAGAGGAAAGCCGGAGGAGAAGGACCGCGGTAGTCGGGCGCAGTGGTGGGAGAGAGACGCGGCCGGCAGGCGAGGTGTGGAGCGAGAAGAAGGAGTGGGTGAGAGAGAGAGCACGGGTGAAGGGGAGAGCGAGAGACCCGCATGGGACCAGCGCAGGTGCGAGAGAGAGGGCGCGAGCCACGCCGCGGAGTGAATGCCCGAGCGCGAGGAAGAGAGACGCGCGACGCTGGGTGTGTGAGTCACGGTTGCCCCTGGCAACCGCGGTGCGCGCGCACCGCGCTCTCAAAATACGCCGCCGCCCGGCGCGCGTAGTTACGCGCCACGTCTGCGTGCACGCGTGCGAAGTAACGCGCGCGGAGTGCGCGTAGACTGGTTAATTGATTTTGCCATTGCCGACGGGCACAATGTTGCCGGCCGAACGAAACGCCATGGGAAAACGTTTAACAACGCGGAGAGAGGATCGATGAGGACGCGAGCGGGTTCGCGGGGCGCAACGGCAACGAGGGTCCACCACCTCGCGAGTTCGAGAGTCGTTTCCGGAAAGTTTCCGCCGATTGTGGCAATGATGCAGAATGATTCGGATCCCGCCGGAGTGAAGCATCGTCGCTCATATCGTGGACCCTTCGCGTGATTACCCCGAGCGGAGCTAAACGTAGGAGAAAGATTCGACGGTGGGGGAGCGCGACGCTCGAGAATGGCCGCGGGGCGCGAGTCGGCTCACCTCGCGATTTTGAATGCAATTATCTCGGCTTCGGGGACGAGTTGATCGACGAATTCAAACGATTCGTGCTTCGTGGGGGGGAACCATTGTGCGGTACATCGGATATCCCGCGGGCGTAACCTGATTCCGCAGAAATCGATGTCGAGACTTCGCGAAAACGGCGGGCCACTCGGTTTTCGCGCGACCTTCTTTCCTCCGGGGACGGAGGTAAAGGGGCTTCGATTACTCCGCGGGGATGAGAAGGTTTAGACTTCTTGGCACGCGATGGCGCACACACAGGGGCGCGTTGCATTGTCGCGGGCCCCGCCAATCGGAGGCTGGCTCGTTCGCGTCTCTTAATCTTGCGCCGCGTTCCAGATACGGCCTCGTTTCTTCCGGAATATTCTCGACGAGGTCACGAGGTCGGGTTAGGATCGGCGTATTGTCTCGCCGCGGCGCGCTCACGTTTACGTAAGCGCGGTCGCGCCGCGCGTTCTTGGACAAGCGGTTTTCAGTCGAAGAGGTGCTTGCGAAACCGGAGGCTATTCGCGCGCCCGCGCGCGCACATAACCTCGAAGCGACTGCGAAACGGGATTAGACGCCCGCAGTGCCGTCGGGAGGAAATCCGAGGCCGAGATGGGGCCCCGAGTGTCGGACATTTTTACGTTTAGGACCCTTGACCGACCTCGCCCACTTTTCGCATCGGAACTAAATCCCCCTTGGGTACACTCACGGCGGCGCTGCCGTCTTCAAATTACGGGGAGAGATTAAATTATCACCGGATTAATACCAGATACCTCGATGAATTAATCCCCAGGAAGTTGTCGCGCGTAATTACAGAGAGTCGAGAAAGAGAGGAGGAAGGGGACTAAATGTCAAGGCATTTGATACCGAGAAATTGGAACGAGTTCCCAGGGGGTCCGAATCTCCGATCTCTACGCCCATGGCTGCGCCGATTTCGTCACTGCATCGATACGCTTGCGCACCGAGCCCACTATGGCGCGGTACTTATGCTTCGAGGCCCTTGCTGCGTATTAAACTCATTACGCACACCCAGCACTGTGTACGACTCGGGACAAAGAACGATATATATTCGATACCGTGTCGTCGACGTCATTTATAATTGGACAAGAACCATATCATTCATATTTCGAGCGAATAATGGCGGTTGCACTCCCGCGGGATCGCAGTTGAGGTTAGGACGAGTTCGCACCCACGCGCAATCCAGGACTCGCGCCAGTTCGTGCGTGGGTTTCCAGAGGGACCTCTCCAGAGACGTGTGAATTGGGTTAATAAACCGGGAAGAACCATAAACTCGGGGGTACTAAGACGAGCCTTCGCTCGTTAATCTCCGTCGAACTGACCGCGCGTCTTGCCTCCACCGTCCGAGCCAACATGGCGCCGGACGGGCGATATCGTTATATCGTTATATTATTATATTCCACCCGGGACAGGAAGAGAATTCTGTCAAGCGGCGCAGTAAAGTGCCGAAAATAAGGGGTTTTGAAACGTCGGGCATTGTTCTCCCTCCGGCTTCGGGTAAACTCGAAGATCTAGGAGCCTCTCCAGAAGACGTTGGAACGACGATTCATGTATTCCGGCGATGGAGGTCCATCGAAATTTCCATGTCGAGGTTGCCGCGGAACCCTTTCCGAGCCCCTGGGAGGCAGAAAGGGGGAGAGGAAAGAACGGGAGAAATGAAATTCGGCCGAGATTTACATCTCGGCGAGCCGAAAGGGCGCCGCCTTCGTGGAAGGTGTGCCCGCCATGTTGGCAGGCGCCATTACGGTCCCGAGCGCGGCTTTGACGCCCCTAAGTGGGACATCCACATGGAGATTATACACAAAGAAGCGAGATCCTGGGAGAGGCTGGACATAAATACGGATATCTATGATCCACATT